GAATGAATGTAAAACTAATGTTCTCCCATGTAAACTATCATATAATTCACAATAAAACATTTTTTAAAAAGTACATGCCAAAAACATTTATCACAAAGAGCACATGGTGTTCATGGTCCACCAGTTCTATGTCCACCTGAGCAGCAGAGTCGGGCGCCCCCTCACTTGCCTCTGTTGTGTGTTGTGGGAGCTCCTCTGGTACCATCTCTGGTTGTGCTTCTACTCCCCCAGCAAGGCTGCCTCTAGGAGGCCCACGGCATTTGGCTTCCTCCAGTTCAGTCTGCAATTCAGACACCAGAATCAAGTGATTCACCTGCTCTTCCTTTAATGCCTCTCTTTCCTATTGCAAAGATGGATCAGAAGGATTAGGTATTGCTAAATGGATACTGACTGAAAGCAGAGAATATCAGAAAGATGTTTACCTCTGTTTTATTGACCATGCAAGGGCATACACAATGGTGTGGCTCATAACAAAGTATGCACAACAATGCAAAGAATGGGACTTCCAGAACACGTCACTGTGCTCATGTGGACACTGGACATGGACCAAGAAGCAGTCTCTCAAACAACATAAGGAAATCCTGTATGGTTTAAACTCAGGAGAGGTGTGAATCAGTGTTGAATCCTTTCATTATAATTATTCAACCTGAGCAAATAATCTAAGAAACTGGACTATGTGAAGAATTCATCATCAGAAATGAAAGAAGATTCATCAATAACCTGCAATAGTATATGGCACCACCTCACTGATAAAGAAGAGACATGAAACACTTACTGGTGAAGATCAAACATTACAATCTTCGGTATGGATTATACCTCAATGAAAAGAAAACAGAAATTCTCACAACAGGACCAATAAGCAATGCTATGAAAAATGAAAAGGAATATTGTAGTTGTCAAGGATTTCACATTACTTAGATCCACAATCAATGCCCATGAAGGCAGCAATCAAGAAATCAAATGACAGATTGAATTGGGCAAAGCTGCCACAAAAGACCTCTTTAGAGTATAAAAACCAAAAATGTCACCTTAAGGACTAAGGTGTTAAGCCATGGTATTTCCAGTCACTTCATATACAAGTGACAGCTGAATAATAAGTAAGGATGATCAAAGAAGAATTGATGCCTTTGAATTATGGTATTGGTAAAGACCACAGAAAATACAGTAGACTTTCAGAAAAAGGAGCAAATCTGTATTGGAAGAAGTACAGCTAGAATTCTTAAAGGATGCTGAGACTTTGTCTCACGTATTTTGGGCATGGTATCAGGAGGGACTCATCCATAGAGAAAAATATTATGCTTGGTAAAGTACAGGGTCCAAGAAAAAGAGAAAGATCATCAAAGAGATGGACTGGCACAGTATCTGCAAAAACTAGCTCCAACATGGAAGAACTGTGAGACTGGCAAAGGACTGGGCAGTGTTCCCTTCTGTTGTACATAGGTGCAACTGAGTCAAGTGCACCTAACAACAATTAAGGTATTAAATAAACGAACTTTTGTGCAAAAGTTAAGGAACCAGGTACTTCACATTGCTGTTTCTGAAGCCATAAATAATGCTCAGCTCTTCCAGTAGTCCGACAGTGAATGTAGGCTCTTCCTTTGACTCCCTTGCTCATCCTAGCCTCCGTGGCATCTGTGACTCCCCAGCACCACACCAACCATGGCATCTGGCAGGACTCCAACACTAACCTTCACCAAGAAAATCAGTGTTTGTCCATAGTACCATAGAGATGATGGATCCTGAGTAATTAATTATTCAACAAAGTACAAATATAATCACTGGACTGTCACCAACAAAAAAAACTGGAAAGACCTCATCAAAGAGTAGAGCAATGATAGATGATAGAGCATATATTAAATATTTCTAGCTTGTGAAAAAAATTTTTCGAAATACATTTACTACAGAATGAATGTTTATAACATATTGAGTGGAAAGAAGTAAGTCACAAAGTTGCTCCAACTTTATAGAGGAAAAAGAGGACGTTAGCTATACTAAATACAGACAGTTTTAAACTTTCTGCAAGAAAAAGTCTAAACTTTAATCATTAAATAACTGCTCAAAAACAAAAGCTGCTTACTGGGGAAGTAGTAATTTAGTCCTTTATCAGGCGTCTGTCCATCAAACAAAGGGATGTCACTTTAGCTAAGCATCCAGATTCAGTTTAAACGTTCAGATACAAACAAAAACATGAGCAACATCATAGGATCATAATGCTCAGCTATAATATGTAAGAACTATCAGTGGCAATATTTTCTTTGGGAAGCTGATGTATATTCCTAAATTCTAAACTTAAAGTAACTATAAACCATCTGTAAACGAAGTATTTAATGACAAGGTCTTTAAACCTAAAACTTAATAAATTTCTTTAGTAAAGTTACTAAGGAAATTCAGTGCACCTAAGAGGTGCAGGAATATTTCACATGTTGGTATAAATCCCACTGGAGCAGACATGAGCTTCTTATAGATGTCAAAGTGGACTGACTTCAGCACTGACACCCATCCCTAACATCTGCTGCAGATGAGAAAGAAAAGACCCCCACTATCTAAGACTTGAGGATGCTCACCAGCTGTAAGTCTTCCCCCATTTTCCTCTGGGTCTCCAGTTCTTCCTGGAGTTGGGCCACCTTTCTGCCAGCCTGGGAGACTGCTGCCTCAAGGCGCTGGATCTCCTCCTGCTGTGCTGCCAGCTGTCTGTCCGCCAGCTCCTTCTTCACAGCCAACTCATTAAACCCATCTGACTTTTCTCTTATTTTTTCTTGTAACAATTCAATCTAAAAAAACAATAAAATGTTTGAAAAATGAAAGAGATTGCTAGGAAGTAAACTATGTTATGTCACACAGTGGGCAGAAAGAAGACAGACTCTTTGTGTTTCCAACCAGGTGCATAATGTAACCTCTTGAAAGAGGGTTGTTGTTGTTAAGTGCTGTTGAGTTGGCTGCAACTCAAAGACCCTGTATAGGGTTTCTGGGAACTTATTGGACAGGCTGTTTGAACTGCTGGCCTTGTGGTTAGCAGTCCAGTGCCTACCCTACAGCACTACTACACCTTGTTGTTGTTAAGTGCCATCAAGTCAGTTCTGACTCATAGTGATCCAGTATAGGGTTTCCGAGGAGCAGCTGGTGGTTTGAACCACCAACCTGGCTTATCCTACAACGCCACACCAGGAGTCCTCACCACACCTAGCCAAGGCTTTATTAAGCTGGTCGGTCTCGTTTAATACAGAGGTGAAAATAACAGGATGCCAAATCCGTCATGAAAGTAAAATGTACTATGGCAGCAGGAGGTTATGACCGGGATTGGTTGGTAGCACAGGAGTTTGAGAAGTGAGTCTGCATTGTGGCATTTGCTCCACCCACCTCCAGTCCTAATGGAAACCAGTTTAATACTCAAAGAAATAAGAGCAAATCCTATACATGGGTATAATTTTTCTTCTCAGTTTGATAGTGACACATGAAAGGTTTGGACTTAATGCTTGTTTTGTGTGAAGGCTTTTATGGGGACCATAATGGTAATGGCCTATATTTAACAAAGGAAAAAAAGTCCATGTATTTTTAGAACTATTTACTGATATGGTATCTGAGTTTCATTTCAAAATAATACCATGGGCAGAAAGGAATGTGGAGAAATGGGATCCCTCACACACCGCTGCTGGGAATGTGAGATAGTGCAGTCGCTCTTGAAAACATTTTGGTGATATCGTCTAACCACCACATAACCCAGCAATTGAATTCCTGGGCACTAATCCCAGATAAATGTACACAAGTGTTTACAGCAGCTCTGGTGGCACTGTAGGAGAAGTACTGAACTACTGACCACAAGGTCAGCAGCTCAAACCTGCCAGCCACTTCTCAGGAGAAAGATGATGAGTTCTGCTCCCATAAAGACTTACAGCCTGGGAAACCCAATATAAGATCACTGAGTCAGCATCAACTTGATGGCAGTCAGTTTGGTTTGGTTTTAGTTTTATTCATAATAGCCAAGACCTAGGAAACACAAGATATCTTCAACAGGTGAATGGCTAAACAAATTACAAGAAAAAAGAATGGACTACTAACATGTGAAACAACCACTAACACAAGGGTCTTTAAAAAGTTCGTGCAAAATGAAATTAAAAGGCAATCAAACTTTTCCATGGGTCGCTAGAGTTATATTGAACAGAAAAAGGCAATCACAAAAGGCTATACAGACAATATGATTTCATTTAGATAGCATGTCTGAAATGACACAGTTAAAAAAATGAAGAGCAGATGAGAGGTTGCCAGGAGTTAGGGAGGAAGCAGTTGTAGGATGGAAGTGGGTAAGGCTATTAAAGGCTACATGGGGCAACCTTTTGGGAATGCAATGCTATTTCTTCACTGCATCAGTGTCAATATCCTGGATGTGATGTTTACCACACTTTTCTGCAACGATACCACTGGGGAAAATTGGGAAAAGGGTATACAGGATCTCTCTGTATTACTTCCTACAACTGCATGTAACTCTACAATTATTCCAGAATAAATTTTTTTTTTTTAACAAAAAAAAGAGTAAGCAAATTAACTAGTGTCGTCAGATAATAGGACACAGACAGTTATAATGCCAAGCAATAGGATACCCAACAAACCAGTATGAAACAAAGCTGGTGCAGCCACACAGAGGAGAACCAGCTGGATGAGGTTCATGGGGTGGTAGGATCCAGGACTCTGTCCTTACCTCTTGACTTGGCTGCACACCACTCTGCCATTTTCAGGGACATGGAAGGCAAATATGAGAGACAAGGTAAGACTTACAAACATCCTAGAGAACGCCACCTCTGCCCCTGGATTCTAAGACTGTGGACTTACATGACTGTCCTGGGCACCAGTGGCCTGGGGCCTGGCCACCCGCCGCAGCTGTCCCTCTAGTCTCTGGATCTCCTGCTGGAACTCATCACGTTCATGTTCTCGTTCCGCAGCCTGCTCCTGTTAAGTAAACAGCCATGTGATCATTTCCTCCCAGATGCAATGAGAGTTCACTGCAAGTGTGTCTGTCCCCTGGTTATGTCCCCCCATATGTTGAGGGAAGGGACTGCCTACTGCTGTCACAGCTTCATGCCTCCATGTTGAATGCTGAGCCTCTAGTATATAGAAGCATCTTCCCACCCAATACTCAGTATCATTTTTAATACATCCGAGTAAACAAACAGGAGCCCTGTTGTAACACTGTAGGATAAGCACTGGACTGTTAACCACAAGGTCAGTGGTTCACACCCACCAGCTGCTCCTCAGAAACCCTATACAGGGTAGCTATGAGTTGGAACCAATTCTAAGGCACTTAACAAGAACAACAGCAGCCCTTTATTCATGAAGCAGCTCCATCCAGTTGTAAAGCTCTGATGACTAGAGGGAATGACATACAGAGAGCTGCTCAAGAGCTCAGGTCCACATGAAACCCAAACCAGCACCTCAGAGGAGCAGATTCCCAGCTCTGTGCATCCCCATGGGACATGTCCCAGGAACACAAGAAAGGATGTACCAACAGCCAGTATAATTATAATCTGGCAAGGGCATATTACAGCTATAGCTTCACAGACATCCTACCGCTGCTTCCTTAATGATCTGAAATTCAGGTGACAGAAAAGAAAAGTGCATGTTACACAACACGAGATACAGTAGTGCACTGTTTAATTTTGCACCTGGGTGGTAAAAATGGTTAATATTCTCAGCTGCTAATTCAAGTTTGGGGTTTCAAGTCTACCCAAACGTGATCTATACCCCCAAAATCCTGAGACAAAGATGTCTGGAAAACCCAGTTGGCTCAGGAATTCAATGAGTCTGAATGTAGGGTGTAGAGGAACTTCTTATATTACTCCTTCTACTTTTAGTAAGCTTGAAATGGTCTCAAAATAAAGTTAAAAACAATTATTAGATATCATTGATTGAACTGTGTGTGTCCTCTGCAAAGATAAACTGGCATTCTAATCCTAATATCTGTGAACATGATCTTGTTTAGAAAAGGGATCTTGAAGATGTTATCGGTTAGCATGAGGTCATAATGGAGGGAGTGGGCCCAATCCTATATGACTGGTGTACTTATAAGAGAAAAATACAGACACACACAGGAAGGCGGCCATGTGAAAACAGAGGCCGATTGGAGTGATGCACCTGGAAAGCCAAAGAATGCCTAGGTCACTACTGTCACCAGAAGCTGAGAGAGAGCAGAGAATAGCTTCTTCCTCAAAGCCTTATAAGAACTGACATGGCCAACACTCCAGATCGTAGATTCCTAGTTCCCAGAACTAGAGGAGAAAATACACTTCTGTTTTATAGTCCTCTCCTGTCCCAAGTATGGTACTTTTCTCTATGACAGGCCCAGGGCACTAATACAAAAAGCAAGAAGAATGTGTTATAGCAATCTGCAGTGGGACATAGGTTCTTACATCCATGAACTGCCGCTGGCTGCGCAGGTGCTTATCCAGAGAAGCCATCTGCTGTTTCAGGGCAATGACCTCCTCCGCATACTGGGCACATGCCTGGTGCTGGGACACCTGCTCCTCCAATTCAGACTCTAGCACTCGCAGCTGGGAAAGCAGAGCTGCACGATCCTTCTCAGACTGCTTCTTGGTTTCCAACTGCTCTTTTGTTAGACAGTCCACTTCCTTCTGGAGACCTAAAGTGCAAAGGATACAGACATGGAGGAAAATGACCACTATCACAGCATGACACTTTCTGGAAGCAACTCGAACTGCCTACCACTACCTAACAGATGTGGAGACAGATGGACAGACTCCACTGTGCAGGGCTGCCCAGTAACCACCAGGATCAATACGGAGACAGATGATGAACTCCACTGGTCAGGCCACCCAGTAACTGTCAGGATTGATACAGAGACACAGAGACAGACTTCACTTTGTGGGACTGATGGTTACTGCCAGGACATACGTGGAGACAGGCAGACTTCACTGGGTAGGTCACCTGCGGCACAGTGCTGCCCCAATGTGAGTGGGCCACAAGGCAAAGTCCTGGCCAGATGAAAGTGAGCATGAGGACATGTCAAAGTTCCCAATCAGCCAACAAATGCTGCCTGTCCCCTTCCTCTAGGGCCTTCCCTTCCTCCTGACCAATACACAGGCAGGATGGTCGCAAGTGTATAACACACATCTGTGTCAGCCCCAGAGGCCAACCCTGCATCCAACTCACCCGTCCACTATGTTGGGGCTAGAAGGCACTTAGAAGAAATGCAAATTGCTCTGGTCTAAACAAAAACAGCCTAAAATACAAGTGTGTACAGTCTAAGAAGAAAAACCCTGGACACTCCCAGGCATCATATCAGCAACTCAAATCAAAGTCTAAACATTTATACTCCAGTAAGGAAAACCCCATGGACCTGAACACACGGTCCAGTGAGTGCCCACAGAAGCTCCACACAGCAAATCCACTCTTGGTAAAGGCACTCTGTAAATGCCTTTTAGGGGCTGCAACAGTGTCTTGGAGGAATAGTGCAGAGGCTATTTTATTAGTAAGCAAAAGCCAATCTAAAATTTAGTTGCATTCCTATGAGAAAGGAACTCCATGGGATTACATTTTTCCAGGTCTCACAAGTTTTCCAATCTTTGACAGAGTGCAGTCTTACCAATTTTCTAAAGTACTTAGTAGAAAATAATTATATTTTCCAACTCTACTAACAGATTTCCTGCTTTCCTAAGTTTTACTTTATTAAACAGGATACTTTAACTTTGATGGACCCTGAAACGTCAAACTGCCCATTTTAGAACTGAAGTGAAACAACAAATTCATAGGTTTTCATTTATAGTTCATCAGCTCTCAAAACTTATATTGGTTTGCAAAATCTATGTTAATCTTTTATGACAAACTATCACTACCATGGAGTCTTGGTGTGGCACTGTGGAACAAAAAAGCACTGGACTATAAGGTAGGCAGTTCAAACCCACCACCCGCTCCTTAGAAACCTTATACAGCATTGCTCCGAGTTGGGGCTTGAAGGCACTTAACAACAACAATAACATCACTACCATTAATATAACTGTTGTCGTTGTTGTTGTGAAGTGCCATCGAATAGATTCCAACCCATAGTGACCCTGTATAGGGTTTCTGAGCAGTGGCTGGTAAGCATGAATTGCTGACCTTGTGGTTCAAACCGACTTTGTAGTCCAGCGCATTAAGTAAGTCACAGGGCCACACCAGGAATCCATTAATGGAATAGATTCTGTAAATATTCATGCTAACACTCAGCAATAAATGATGGTAAATTAGCATCAAACATGCAGCTATAGCAATGTTAGTTCCATTCTTTTAGCCTGTGGAGTCGGCCCTGTAAGTGCCTTTAACAAACGTGCCACAGCTTTGAGGAAGACAGTAGCAGATAATGATGGATGTCCATGACCCAGGGCCAAGTAGAGCTCGGGCTATGGCTCTCTCCCTCAACCCCCACAAGGCATGAGAAAATATGCTGGGCCAGAACCCATCCTGAGAGCCCCAAAGGATCCACCGCATACATGACTACCTACAAACATCACACACAGAACACAACTTAGTGACAGAAGTAAGTACTCCTAGAGAAACGCTTGCATTTGTTTGAAGCATTCAAAGGAACTCCTTAGAGAGTTTTACAAGTATTATGATCTGCAGCAAACACTGAAAAACTTTTCAGTGTAATCATCTACAAAATCTGAAGCAAGCACAAAGCACACACTCAGAGAAGTCACTTGTTCATTTTACAAACCTGAATCCTTTTGTGCTACAGTGACAGGAATGCCTATAAATTAAAATACACAAATATTTACACAAATAAACATAGAAGAACATATGACCAAGAATACAAAATTAAGATGGCATGACCTAGAACACAAAATTTCGAAATAAAAGAAGGGAGAATGTTAGTTGCAAGACTCTGGGGAGTGTTTGGCATCAGACTATTTTCAGACGTGTGTGTCCCCAAGGCTTACCCTCTGCACATCTCTTCCAGGACTTTGGCATCAACTATTAAATGGGACAGAGGAGGAGTAGGGCAGTTCACAGCCCTGAGGAATCCACTTCCAGCTCTTGGATGTACGATGATCCCCCATATGGAGCAAATTAAAGGGGGGGAGGGTCCTATAACACAGGATACCCCCACCTGGGGTGGGGAGGTCTTATGGCACCAGATCCCACAAGGAGGGCATGGCCTGGAGACTCCCTGCAATGGGTTGTAAGTGGGAATAGGACAAGCTGCCCCGGCCCTTCCATTGGTGCCTCAGTCATCGAGGCCAGGCCAACAGATAAGAGTGGAGACTGAGCCCAGGCTATCGTAAGGCCCATGAGGTCAGCACAGGCATGCAGGCCCAGGACTTCCAGGACACACCATCTGTTACTGAAATGTCATCAGTAATTATTATCATTTTTATAACCACTGGCCAAGCCAAACCAGACACCTGTACGTACAAAGGGCGATCAGATCTACCTAAGAGCTGTGAGCTCTGAAGGCATCAATCCTTCTTCCTATGCTCAGACAGGGCACAAAGAGCAGACATCCTGCACAGCCCACAGTCTCAGTCCACAATTGCTCCCAAAGTGTCTGCTGGACCACAAAGGTGCATACCGTCTGAAGGACAGACAGCATTCAACCACAACGTCAGGGAGAGACAGGGGAAGGAAAAAAAATCACATACGCCTGCACATGCATACATATAAAAACAAGCACTTGCACACATACATACATGTCTAGATCATATTCTGGGACTTTGAAACAGGTTCACCAACAACATCCAGAGTACACAAAACAGAAAAAGGGTTGATGCCCATGTTTCCACACTACAGAAGCTCAGGCTCCACAGCCAGCAACTCTTACCAGATTCTCTCTCTTGTGCACCAGCAGCTAGCTCCTTCATCTGGCTCTGCAGGGAGGCACACTCCACCTTCAGTTGTGCCTGCTCACTGGCCGCCGTCTGCAGCTGTTGGCTCAGGTGCTCCAGTTCTAACACCAGGCGCTGCTCCGACTGCTCCTTCTGGCCCAGCGCTGCCTGAAGGTCTGCCCTCTCTTCTTTGAATCCCTCAATAAGGCCTACAGAGGAGACTACGTGAGATATGTGGTAGCCAACAACAGGTACCATGACTGGCATATGCTCTACCACATGACAGATACCAACTGGGGACTAGAGCATGATTTATAGCAGGCCCTATGAACATCGAGAACTGCTGTCCATACACACTGCTACATACCTAGACCTGTGCCTGCCAGGCAACCAGACCAGCCCTCATCCTCCCGCCCTCATAATACCTCACACCCCAACATGTTATGTCTTAGCCCAGCTCAGGTCCTTCAAGAACAGAAACAAAAAGTATGGTTTCCTGATGGAGCCCTGGTCCCCAGTGTCTGCTCCAGACTAAGTTGACACCCTGTCATACTCCAGAGAAGGCACTGGAAACATGCCTGCTGCCTGGGCATTCACAGCAGAACAGTGACTGCCTACACGTGGCGCTCCTCCCACACATGCCTCCTTGTCCTGCTGACAAAGACCTCCTACCACCTCCTACACAGAGCACCACACCAAATATATTTTTTAGACTCTAAAAAAGAACAGTGCCACTCTAGGCCCCAAATGGAGTCCTGGAGTGGCGCTGCAGGATAAGCAATGGACTGAGAGATCCACAAGGTTGACCATTAAAACCCACCAGCCACTCCTCAGAAACCCTATACAGGATTGCTATGAGTTGGAAAGGACTCAACAGCAACAGGAACCTAATGACTAAAACAATGTTCAAAGAAGAAAACAAAGTAGAAGGAATCATGCTTCCTATTTTTAAAATGTAATATACAGCTATACCTAGTACTAGTACAAAAATAAACACACAGATCAATGAATAGAATTGAGTGTCCAAAAATCATCCCAGACATCTATACTCAAATGACTTTTGACAAGGGTGCTAAGTCCGTTCAACAGGGAAAACTGTAATTCTACATGCAGAAAATTAAAACATAATTCCTGCCTCAAACCATACACAAAAACAAATTAAAAATGAATTAAAGGATGTAAAGATGCAAATGAAAAATCATAAAGTTATTAGAAACATAAGCAAGGGCAATGCTGCCAGGTCTAGTTTGCAATACGCAGAGCTTCAAAAAGTGCTAGTTATCTAATACAAGTGGCTTCAAAAGGTTTGTGAAGAAAGCTGAATTCAAAGAAAATAGAATTGCACAAGAACACCCAAACTTGGCCCATTTGACCTAGCCTCAATGGCTTGATGATCAGAAAACAACTAGAAGGTGGTAAAAAAAAAAAAAAAAAAAAAAAA